CGACCCTTGAAAGTAAAAATTATGGATCCGCCTAGCTCAGATTCCTAAATCTCAGATGCCTAAAGCTCCCATTCCTTTCACTCCTTATCTTAGATGTACTCTTCTTCCCAATCGTATTCCTCAAATTCCCCATTTTCCTAATCCTAGATTTCCTAGCCATCACAACTCCTCTACAAGTGGCAGTAACAATAAGCAATGATGATTGGTAGTTGTTGCCAACCCTAAGTGGCTATTATTTATTATAAATATTATTAGTATTGTTTAAAGTACAAATGGGCTCTGGGCCGCTTAAATTCATAAATAGAAAGACTTAACAATGGAAGCTCAAGTCAAACCAGAAACAAGCCCAGATGTTTGACTTTCTAAAATAAGAAACCCTGCCAATAATTCAAAAGGTGTTTTATTCGGGTAAAGGCGTGACTACATACCCAAATCGAAACCCATGTTGACTTCGACAACTGGGAAGGAGTCAGGCAACAAAGAAAGGTTGAGCAACTGCATTTGAACTCTGAGTCTCTACTGAGCCAACTTGTTGAAGAAAGCCATGCTTGGGCAATTCACCATTGACACAAGAATCAAAGCACTCAAGAATCACCAGTTTAACTGGCAAAGAAAGGATTGGTAGCACATACTCAACCATCTCTTCACTAAGTGTGTGAATTCAAAATTTAAATTTTATTTTTATAAAAACATCTTTTGTGTATCATCTCTTTAATGGAGGTGGAGCCCACCAATACAATGGGTCCCATCTCTATTAGAGAGATGATACACAAGTTGGTCTCTCTAAAGATGGAGGGGAAACTCTCATGTAACGGGATAACACTTTTTGCTTTCCCCAACTAATAACACAATGACACGTATGATAGCCTTTCCATGGGTCATTATGTTATTGGTTAGGGATAGCAAAACAGTGCTATCCTATTACATGTAATTTTTTTTGCTAAAGGTGGTCTCCTTAGCATTTTCCACAAAAAAAAAAAAACTATATATGAGATATGACTCAATGGTGGTGGTAGTGATAGTGACAATGATGGGGATGCTTGTGGTGGCAGAGGAGCAAAACCACATAACTATTTGTTCAAAATAAAAACGTATTTTTAATGCATGCAACTTGAACTGAAATTAAAGTTGAAACTCTAGTTGAGTCCTACTCATCACCTAGCTGACAGAGTACTACATGTTAGCTCTGCGTTAGAACACATTGGATTCGAATTACCATGAAGATTGTCCTTGGGCATCTCTTGTTGTGGACATAAAAGATGCTTGGGAGGGAGTTGCAAGCATTCAACCTCTCCCTCAAGCATCTCTATAACTTTGTTCATCGAAGGACGATCGCTTGGCTTCAATTGTATACACCATAAAGCAGCTATAATCATCTTTTTTATTATTTTCTTTTCCTCTTCTGTAGCATCATCCATCTCAAACTCTTTGCACATGAAAAATTGCTCTGAGACCCAAAGGGGAAAATAAATTTGGCTTGAATGCTCTATGTCTGCGTTCAAATTCTTCCTTCTACTTGCCATTTCCATCAACAACATTCCAAAACTATAGACATCAGCTTTGTATGAGACACCTCCAATATTTTTGTAAAACAACTCAGGAGCCATGTATCCCATTGTTCCTCTTGCTGCCGTCAAAGAGATGATGGTGTTACCTACCGGATATAGCTTTGCAAGCCCAAAGTCAGAAATCTTTGGGATGAAATTCTCATCAAGAAGAATATTGTGAGGCTTGATGTCAAAATGTAGAATTTGCATGTCACAACCTCGATGTAGATATTCGATCCCTTGAGCCACTCCAAGAGAAATCTCATACATTTTCTTGCAACTTAAGGGGTTGCTTCCTTCTTTGCCATAAATGTATTTATCAAGAGATCCATTTGGCATGAAGTTATAAATTAGGGCACGCTTTGATCCCTCAACACAATAACCAACAAGTTGAACCATATTAAAATGGTGAATCCTCCCAATAGTAGCTACCTCACTTATGAAATCTTGTCCATTAGCTTTAGGCTTCTCCAACATTTTTACTGCTACAAATCGACCACTGCGTAACTTTCCTTTAAACACAGAGCCATAACCTCCTTCTCCCAACTTCTCATTGAATCTACTGGTCATCTTTTTAATATCTGAGTAAGAGTACCTTATCGGAATGAGGTTGTTATCACTTTGCAGGAAATCTTCTATGCTGCTATACATTGACAAATGCCTTCTTCTCCGTTTGTAGATTAGAAGAGCAGCCAGAAATGGAACCCCAAATATAGATCTTATTGGGAAATATGCTCCTGCAAAGCAACATCACAAAAAGAATCACAAATGACATGCTTTATTGGATATAATATATGTGCGTCATAACCTTCCTCTTTGCTTCCTTTTTTTTTTTCTACTGACTGATAGGAAATACAATTCTGCACTAAAGGAATATGCAAACTCTTACCGAGTGTCAGCCACTTGTAAATACCTGCAAGAGATACAAGAAAAATTGACTAAAATCAAAGGCTTGACATAAGTTTGAAATTTCGAAGCACAGATATATGTATACTCTGCCCTGCTTACTGGTTGACTAAGACTAATTAGCAGACTACATCATATAAGGAAGGTGAAGAAGAGAGAATGGAATTTAAATTAGCCAGAGAAAATACAAGTAATAAAGCTATTTAAAATTTTAAGAATTTTTATTTTCAAAGAATATTTGACGTATTTTCTCCACATGTCTTTCTCATTTTCAGCCCTTTATCGCCTTATTTCAAGTAAAACTACACAAAACAAATGATTGAAGATGAGAAATAAAGCGTAACAAAAAGTCATAGATGATAGATTTAAACAAGTGACATTTGGAGAAGTTCAGAAAGTTTGAGTAAGAAATTGTAGACTTGGAATATAGCAAGTAATTCACGAACCTAATTTGTAGCTGGTCCTGGGAGAGTAAAAGTGAAGCTCAAAGCCATACCCCAGTGCGCTGTGTATGTCATGATAAGAAAAGTTTCTGTCCTTTCCGTACAAGAACGACTTACTCATCAAAGTCGTCCACTCTATGCTGCACCCGTCCTCCATATCTGATGCCGTTATATTCCCTTGCTTGACATAGTTATACGTTCTCATCACAGACGAGTTCACTGCTTTTGCACACTTGAAGAAAGTTATAGGTGTTGTACTTGATGCTAATTCAAGATAACTGGAATAAGTTAAGTTGTAAATAGAAAGCGAATAACGGGGGATGGAGGAGAAATCATTGTTGCGAATGCCAGGATCTACAACTCGGATTGTTAAGTTGTCGTGGTTGATTGCCTGCACAGAGTAGTTTCCTGAATATACTTCCAATACTGTGAGGTTGTTGTGACAAAAGAGGTTGTAATTCCAGTTCGTGCAGTTGCTTTGATTTGGATCGTTGGGTAGTCGAAAAGGGCTGGTTATGTTGTGGATCTTACCGCAGGCAGACGGAATGCACTTACCATGGTTCTCCGTAATTAATGTTCTAGTTGCATAGGCTAATCCAGCTAAAATAAGAGAGGCATAGAAGGCACCAAGACCAAGCAATAATACACTTACTATAACGAGAACACATGTTCTGTTTGCCATGGAGAGAGAGTTTTTAGACACACTTCTTCAATCCGCTAGCTAGCTTTGGTCAAGTAGCTGCTGCATATTTCTATTATTGCTTGTCAGTCAATTCAAAGTTGTTGCCCTTTACATTTTGTGTGGTGCATATTGTCACGACTTAGAGGTCACGACTTAGATATATATATGCCAAATCCATGGGCCTGCTTTTGAATATTGCCAATGACTTTCTTCCAAGTGGGGACAACGGCTGTCGCTGAAGATTATTTATTTATTTTAAAAAAATTGTAATTATTATGGAGTATATACTTGTACATACAGGAGTATAGTATCCACTTCACGTACTTGATACTGAGTGATATGAAGTTAAGTTAATTACACTGTACAGAAAGAAAAATGGATTACCATATACTCGCACAAAGGAAGATACCTTTTTTAATAATAGTAAGCACTTCATGAGGTGAAATTTAACCAAATTATGGACCGATATTGTCTCCACCTAGGTTTAATATTTTGGGTGGGTTTAAGCTCAATGGACTTCTAAGTGTAAGGCTTTTAACTTAAAAAGTCTCGGTGCAATTAATAGTAACCACCTATATTTGAACTATATTATTATTCTTAATGTGAAACTTACACATCATGACTTGTATATGATTTATATCGAGCCATCTACAATTGTTCTGGCTTATAAACCATGAACCAACAACTAACTAATTTCCAGTTAGCGCCTAAAACCTTCTAATAGAACAACAAACTCCTAACTAATCTGCAAGCACATCAGCAACTGATAACTAATTGCCACATCAGCAGATTCCTAACAAAAGTACTATAGAATCTGCAAAATCTCACGTGTTTTTCTAACCTAAATTTATAATGAGATTTAAATACGGAATTTAAATTTTATTTCTTTAGAGAAATCAAATATACAATTGAGTGGTGGTGGCCGTCGTTGTGATAACAGGAGTGATGCATGTAGTAGCGGTGGAGCACAAAACCACATTTTCGTCCGCCGGAGAAGCAGAATAGGGATGTAAATGTGGTTTACTTGTACACTGTGGATACTCTATTATTAATATACTTCAAGTTAAAAATGAATTAGACTAAAATATAACTTTGTAATCAAAATGAGTGTTGGAAAATGTCACAACTTTGAATTTCGTATCTCCCGTTGATAAAAAAAGATAAGGAAAAAAATCACAAAAATATAAATAATAAAAATGAGTATTTTTAATGGGACAAATAATGTTATCAAACACACAATCAAACTAACTTTACACCAATGACATTTATATTTGACATTTATGATAATATTATTCTGATATTTTTTCGGAAAATAAAGAAAAAGAATTATAAAATGCCACACAAAGACACATAGATTTTAAAGCTGATAAAGGTACTCATAAAAATTTAGAGAAGGATTATATATGTGAGCTTAATGAATGTTATTGATGTGAGACATAAAAATCGTGGCATTTGAAACATAAGATAATTGTTTAAATCATAATAAAATTGCACTAAAGTTCATCACCTAGCTGACAGAGTACATGTTAGCTCTGTGTTAGAACACATTGGATTTGAATTACCATGAAGATTGTCTCTGGGCATCTCTTGTTGTGGACATAAAAGACGCTTGGGAGGGAGTTGCAAGCATTCAACCTCTCCCTCAAGCATCTCTATAACTTTGTTCATCGAAGGACGATCACTTGGCTTCAATTGTATACACCATAAAGCAGTTATAATCATCTTTTTTATTATTTTCTTTTCCTCTTCTGTAGCATCATCCATCTCAAACTCTTTGCCCATGCAAAATTGCTCTGAGACCCAAAGAGGAAAACAAATTTGGCTTGAATGCTCTATGTCTAAGTTCAAATTCTTCCTTCTACTTGCCATTTCCATCAACAACATTCCAAAACTATAGATATCAGCTTTGTATGAGACACCTCCTATATTTTTGTAGAACAACTCAGGAGCCATGTATCCCATTGTTCCCCTTGCTGCCGTCAAGGAGACGATGGTATTACCTACTGGATATAGCTTTGCAAGCCCAAAGTCAGAAATCTTTGGGATAAAATTCTCATCAAGAAGAATATTGTGAGGCTTGATGTCAAAATGTAGAATTTGCATGTCACAACCTCGATGTAGATATTCGATCCCCTGAGCCACTCCAAGCGAAATCTCATACATTTTCCTGCAACTTAGGGAGATGCTTCTTTCTTTTGAGTAAACATATTTATCAAGAGACCCCTTAGGCATGAAGTTATAAATAAGGGCACGCTTTGATCCCTCAACACAATAACCGACAAGATTAACAATATTAGCATGGTGAATCCTCCCAATTGTGGCTACCTCACTGATGAAATCTTGTCCGTTATCTTTAGACTTCCCCAAGATCTTAACTGCTACAAAACGGCCACTTCGTAACTTTCCTTTAAATACAGAGCCATATCCTCCTTCACCCAGCTTTTCACTGAATCTATTGGTCATCATCTTAATGTCTGAGTAAGAGTATCGTATTGGAATGAAGTTGTTATTGCTTTGCAGAAAGTCTTCGATGGTGTTATACATGGACAAATGCCTTCTACGCCATTTGTAGATTATAATAGCAGCCACAAATGGAAACCCAAGTATAGATTTTACTAGGAAAAATTCTCCTGCGAAGCAACATCCCAAAAAGAATCATGAGAAAAAGAAAATGGTTGATCCATTGCTTTTTTTATAAGTAGGGATTGGATTATTGATCCACTGCTGTCAAACCTACACTTAAGGAATACGTAACCTCTTACCCAGTCCGATCATTTGAGTATCTGCAAGAAAGATATAATAGAAAAAGTGAGCAAAATCAAAGACGTGACATAAGTTGGAAATTTCCAAGTTCGCACACACACATATATATTGTATCAACTTGATGCAATGGTTGATGATAAAAGATAAAGGATAATAGCAATAACGCTATAGTTAGTGCTAAAAAAAAAAAAAAAAAAAAACAGGTGCATTTAATGGTTGACTAAGACTAATTAGTAGACTACATTAGTTATCTGGCCTAAACAAAAAACAGATCAACAATGTCAACGGTTTAGTTTAGTGGACAAGGGCCTTAATTAGCAGACCAGTGGTTTCATATTTGAACCCTTATGACATCTTGGTGTATGTATTATGCCCATCCCTTTGTAATTTAGACTATCACTTTTATTCAATGAAAAACAAAAAAAATCAGATCAACAATACTAGATATACGAACTTTTTTTTAACAAGTTTATTTGTAATCTATTTCCATGTCACAGTCTTACTTTTAAAAATAAATAAGGTTAAAGGTGGGTCAAGATTTGGAAAAATGATAGACTGAGACATTTTTGGTGAGCAAACGTTGGTGTATATACTAATTAAAAAAACCGATTTAAACCAAGACTTGCCATCACGTAGATTTGAGAAAGAAGTTGATTTGGGAAGAAAGCAATTTCTCATTTTCATTCATTCTTGTGAGTTTCAAATAGATCACTGAAAGTTTGAGATCTAGTGATTTGAAAAGAATGTGGTATAGCTGTTTTCGAAAGTTGTTTGTTCTCCACTCACAACGTGGTATATATAATTGGATTTTCCGTTTCCATCAACTAACTTGAAATACTGAAAGAATCTCGTTCTAAGTTCCTAATATGATGAGGAAGGTGAAGAAGAGGGAAGGAAATTAAAGTAGCCAGACACAATTAAAATGAGATATTTAGTCATATACCCATTCTTAGCACTAAAACTATAAACAAACCCTACACCATTTAATTTCTATAAACAATCCCAAAAAATGATAGCTGACCCTATTGAATTTAATTTTGATTATTAAATTACTTTGATGCCCTATTGAGTGTTTTGGGCTTTTTTTATGAGGTTTTGGGGTTGAGTTTGTTTTAAGAAATCAATGATAGTTTTGTAATTTAAAAGAAGTTAAAAGCTTTTTTGTTATGTTGTAAATAGGCTTTAGGTGTGTTTCTAAAGTCCATTTCATATATGATTTTTTTATATAATTTGGGCTCCTATATTGAGTATAATAGTGAATCTCGCAATTAAAATTATATGATAAAACAATTTAAAATTTTTTAAAATTTTATTTTCTAAATATTTCATCTATTTTCCTCATTTTCTCCCCTCTCTTGTGTATTTTCTCTGTCTTATATTCATCCCTCTATCCCCTTATTTGAAGAAAAATTAAACAAAAAGAAATATGAACCTTGCTCGAAAAGGTGAAATAAGGCGGAAATTTAAAAGTCAGAGATCTAAACAAGTGAAATAATTTGGAGAAATCAGAAAGTTCGAGTACAAAAATTATAGACTTGGAAATATAGCAAGTAATTCACAAACCTATACTCACGAAGCGCCGAACGTTGATTTGAAGCTCAAAGCCATACACCAGTGCGTTGTGTATGTGTTGATACGAAACGTTTCGGTCCTTTTTGTACAACGACGTACTCACCATAGTGGTCCACTCTATTCTACACCCATCCTCCAAATCCGACGCCGTTATATTGCCTCCCTTCACATAATCATACGCACTCGTCATAGAAGATAAATTCACTGCTTTTGTACACTTGAAGAAAGTTACAGGTGTGGTAGTTGATGGTGATGGAAAACACGAATCGAAAGAGCTGAAGTTGTAAGGGGCCAGCGAATAATGGGGGATGGAGGAGAAATTGTCGCTGCGAATGCCGGCATCCACGACTCGGATTGTGCGGTTGTCGTAGTTGATTGCCTGCACGTAAAACTTTCCGGAATATAAGTGTAACACTGTGAGGTTATTGTCGCAAGAGAGGTCAAGATACCATCGCCCGCCGGCACAGTTGTTTGGTTTTGGAACTTTGTCTAGTCGAAAAGGATAGGTTATGTTGTGGATGTTACCGCAGGCAGACGGAATGCACTTACCATGGCTCTGCCTAATTAATGTACTTGTTGTATGGTTTATTCCAAGAAAAATTACATAGGCAAACAAGGCATAAAAACCAAGCCATAATACACTTGCTATAACGAGAACACATAATCTGCAAGTGCTTGCCATGGAGAGAGAAATTTTTAGACACACTTCTTGAATCCGCTAGCTAGCTTTGGGCAAGCAGCCGCTGTATTTCTATTGCACGACATAGAGGTCAAAGCCGCGTTTGACAGGAGCTTGATAGATATATGCCAATGAGTTTCTTCCAAGTGATCATTGACGCGAAGGCCAATTAACGAGAACACATAAGGATGGAGAGAGAGAAATATTTAGACAACTTCTTCAATCCACTAGCTTTGGTCCCGCAGCTGCTGCATTTCTATTGCTTGTGAGTCAATTCAAAATTGTTGCCCTCTACATTTTGTGTGGTGCATATTGTCACGACATAGAGGTCAAAGCCGCGTTTTGTTGATTTATAAATTCTTAAGCAGATTTATTAGGTAGTTAAATACAGTTTTCATTTTAACTCACTTTGTAAGCCAAGTGTAAGCTTTCTATTGGATGACTAAAGGAAAGGCTGGGATCTCTTTGATGTGTAAAGGATCCAGCTATTAAGCCTAACGGTCATATATTCCTCACACTATGTGCGTGAGGTTGTAAGCAAGAGAGAGAGACTGAATGGATAGAACATTCCTCTGCTACACGTATAGCAGAGTGATCTTTGCCAAATTCTGCTAGCTATCGTTGTTTCTTTTCTTCTTCAGCACTCGTCATCAATATCTAAAATATTGTATTTCTCATATTTGTGGTTCGATTATGATGAGACACAAAGCTCCCACTGGTAAGATTTCATATATCTTCGAATCTCATCTGCAATTATCTGATACAACGGTTTACTGATAAGGCAGATGTATAATAGAAATAAATACAACAGTAGTTTTCAAACAATTGACGTCGTAAAGAAAAGTTATACGTCGCTATAAGTGAAGAAACTGACCGTCGTGGTTTACAAATTTAAATCGTCTTTATATAGTAAAAATACGATGTGGATATTTTTGCATTTAGAAGTCGTTATCTACTCTTCTATGGTTCCCAGATACTATACGATAGTATTTTTATAAATTCCGTCGTAGAACTTTATAATAAAACGTCGATCTTACCCCTCATAACTATCCGTAGCCCTTTGATTGATTTGATGGCTATAAAGTGAACCTCTTAAAACTTACCCCTCATAACTTACCTCGCATTATAGCCTTTGGAGTGTATTGTTGGCGTGATTTGTAACTAGGGCTCATCAATGGCCCGGGCTGGTTCGGCCCAAATTTATTAGATTTGGGTCAAGTTAGGTCGGGCTTCAATTAAGAGAGAGATAATAACAGGTTGAGTTGGGCTGGATTTTTTCAAAAAATTCAAAGCACAGACTTGCTTCATGAGCTAGACTTTCTCAAACCCACCAGACTGGGCCGAGTTGAGCTTACTATGCCGGGCCGAAGTTTTTGCTCTCTTTTCTTCTATCTTTTTTCTCTGTTTTTCTATGTTTATGTTCCCTTTTTTTTATTTTTTTCTCTATGCTCATAGTTCTCTGGAAGTGGACACCTATATATTAAATCAATGCTTTTTTTTTCTCCAACTCCAAGTTCAATAAAAAATTAGAGTGAGCAACCTGTGAATTTAAAACAATAAAATGTCAAGCCTCTATTCTACATGCCCCTTTTTTTGTTTTTTGTTTTTTTTTTATAGCCTCCTCCAAGTTCTTTGTAAATGATTTGGTAAATTTTATTGTAAAAGATGGACAAAGATTAATCTGCCATTGTCAACAGAGCACATGCTTATTGCTGTGAAAATATCTTACTCATTAGTTGCTTGAAGGAATCACTATAGAGCACATGCTTGAAGATTCAGAGAACCGACATCAAATACAATTAGTGCACGGGATAATAGTAGCGTCCTTATACATATATGATGAGTTCACTACCTTTGCACACTTGAAGAAAGTTATAGGTGTAGTACTTAAAGGGGAGGGAGAATTGTTCGGTTCATTTTTACACATGATTTTTCATGTTATTCACCCACTATTTTGAGTTAGTTCTTGACATTTTATAGCTTTTTACTTCCTTTTTGTGTTTTCTTAGATTTTGCCTTGGTTGGGATGAAAATGAGCTAAAAGTGCATTATTAGTTATAAATTCTGTTTTTGTTCATTTTCGTAGGTCAACTTCTTGGCCTGGGATCAACATGCTCTGGTGCTCGGATGAGGTCATGATCTTCATGAGACTTGTTCCAATGGATGTTAACTACAACATATCCAAATTTGAGCTCCATTGGACAAGTATTGCCTATCCAACCAATCCATCATGTTACCACAGTTCTGGAAATCCGGATTTGGCCAGCTTTTACCTCCCTTGTGTCATCTTAACTTCTTGTTACCATAACTCTTGGTAACAAGGAATTACATTTGTAAAATAGATATTTTCGGAGCTTTTGGCATCTTTGTGAAGTCAAAGCTCCATCATGGCAAGGGGACAATGGGCTAAGGCTTTATCAAAGGTGGTAGTTTAATATTAAAAGGTAAAAGCTGGAAAGGAGGAGAGAGGGAAGGAAAGGAATTGCAATCTGAAGTTGGGAGAGCCTTTTGAACGTGGGAAAGAAAGTCATTGAGGAGATTACACAGAGGAGAGCAGATTTTGGAGAGCTTGGAGCTTGGAGAAAGCCAAGGTGCAGCCAAGAAAAGTGGAGAAGAAGACTTCCACCATTGATGATCTTGAAGCTTTCATCATTTTCTAAAAATCTGTAAACTCTTTCTAATTTCATTTTGACTTTGTATTTCAAATAAGTATGAGCAACTAAACTCTATAGCTAGGGCTTAGGTTGAAGCCCTAAACATGAATACCTTATTGTTTTGATGCTTGAGTGTATGAATTTCTAGATATTGTTGATGAATTCCAATTCACCAAATTAATCTATCCTTGATGTGTGTGTTTTCCTTGGTTGGCCATCTTTGAAAGCATGCTTCTTGAGATTGTTGGGATTATGTGTATCTTCATGTTATCCTAAGCAATAAATGGATGAAGTAAGAATCATCCATGTGAATTGGTTTCTTGAATACCTAATGTAAACACCATGATATTAGGGTTCTTGTGATGTTCATATTCTCTTTGAACTTAATGGGTTCTCCTTATAATTGAATCAAAGTACGAACCATACCTAGGTTCGGTTATGGGGAGGGCACAAGTATTGTAGCACGAACCATGCACTTTAAATACATTAGAGAGAATCAATGCGTCTTGAGCCACTCGTACTGGTCTTGATTGCGAACATCTTCAACAACACGTTTAGAGTTCATCACTTGAGTATCCATGAACATGGATGGAATTGTTTAGGGTGGATTCTGAAACCCTAGTGTTTGTTACATTTTGTTTCCACTCTTTGATAATTCATCTCTGCCATTCCCATTTAATTTCAAAGTCCATTTACTTTCATGCAAAAAAAATAGGTTACTTCAAACAAATCAAAACCCCCCCTCCCAATGTGTGTGTGAGTTGTGTGTTCGACACGTGGTGTGTCTTTGTTACTGAATTTTATTTGTTTCCGTAAATGTTTTAGACTTTTGGTCTGCTTGGTGTTCTTCCATTTTCTGTGCTGATTCCAACCGTATAAAGAACGTGAAATTTGGATAAAAGTTTGGAAAGTTATAGGCAAAACACTGGACAGAGGTCGAAACTGAAAAACAGAGAAAACGAATCTGCCCAAAAA